TACAGATGGGTTTTACTATAAATGAATAAATAAAGTGAAAAATGAAAAAAATAAATGAAAAAATAAATTAGAATCATTAACACAGAGTTACAGTGTATTGGTGAATGAAGGAGAACAAAACAAACAGTAGTGTCCTTAAGTCAAAAGGCTGGTCTAGTCTATCCAGTACAACAAGTTTAAAACATACTCAAATATATTATAGATCAGTGGCTTCATCCTTCAATGTCTACCAAGTCCTCTGAAGGTGGCAGTGGGCCAAATATGGATTTCCTTCTTGGTGCCAGTTGATGGGAGACAGCGCTCTCTGCTGTTTAGTTCTACTACCCACAAGCCAAGCTGAATTTCAAACTCACAGCAGCAGTTTCAAGTAGTTATATTCATTGATTTGTAGTTGTGTTAAAGAAAAAATAATAATAATAAAAGAATTGGGAAGATTGTAATAGGCCTACATCAACATTTGTCTCAGATTAACTGGACCAAAATTGAAAGTGCAAGAGATATTTTATGTTTTAGCACAATTTGTTTACTTCAGTGGTGGCTCCTCTTTGAAACAGGGGAGGCTCAATGGTGGCCATTAAATCCAACCATCATGTATTGCATTAAAGGTATTGTGGAGGATTTTTTAGAAGGCCTGCCCTCTTCACTCTAAAAAAAGATGCGCATGCAAGAACATGCACAAGCCCATTTCTCCTCATGCACGTCCTGTTTAAAATGTGCTGTTGTCATAGCTCATACAAGCTTACTGTGTCCACATACAGCGGTGACTATATAGTGGACTTTATAGCAAACTCAGTTAACTTACCGTTCAGATGGATGATCACTGCTTTTTGATCCCCGTTGGTCAAGTAACTTTGACCAATGGGGATCTTTGCGCAAAGCAATCTGGGATATATTTGCCACTTCTGAGGGCTTTCTTTTCTTCTCATAAACTTCGTAGACAGATTTTCTCTTATGACCCTGGGTCATTTTCAAAGAACCACTGTGAGAAAAAGCTTCAATAACTGTCTGAAACTGTGGTTCACTACACATATGTGGCTGAAAGTGCTCATGCACAGAAAAAGACAGCTAACGAGACAAGCACATAGAAAGGCCTTACCTAAACATAACACCAGACTGCTTGACAATTAGGAGGACCACTTATTTAGATGATCCGCCTGCAAATAAAAGATTGTCCTCTATACCTTTAGCAACTGTTGAAATACTTAAAACACATAAATACAAAGGGTCAATATAGCTGTTGTATAGCTCTGAAATAATAAACTTCAGAAACCCCAGCAAGAGTTTAGCACAAGATTACTGTTCTGACTGAATGATCACTCATGTGGAAAACCTCCTCGCTATGTGGCCACTGATTTTTAAAAATCATTAAGTATGTTTGCCAATCAGCATTGAGCAGCCAGCTTCAGGTGGTACTTATCTGGCTGTGTTATCCAATCAGGGCTCTACTTTTTTGTGACAGACAGCATCCTGCTGCTCCAAATAGGAGGTGAGATTGCAGGCTCAACAGCTGAGTAATGCACAAGATACTAATAAAATCAGGCTAATATTTAATTGTGTAAAGACTACATTTTTGAAGTTTGACTATGCATTTTTTTTTACCAATAATTTTATGAAATTTACAGGGGAGTTTTAGCCTCCCTAGTTTTCAATGAGAAATCACCATTGGTGTACCTGTACTTTAGAATTTGAAGAGGTGTAAAAAAAAAAAAATTCTATTTGAAAGATAGAGAAAACTCTACAACTACAAAACTCCAAAGTTACAATGCATAAATAGAGGGTTCTGGATTCGTTCCCTGGTCCGGGGTCTTACTCAATGCAGTTTGCATGTTCTCCCCTGCATATGTGGTGCGGGTACACCGGCTTCCTCCCACAGTCCGACAATATGACTGATATGTTTATTGATTTCTCTAGATTCTCCTTGTGTGTGCATGGTTGTACATCTTTGGGCTTCTCTGTGTAAAATTTCCTAGCAAATCAAAAGTACATCTTTGCTTACTAAGAGAAATTTAGTAGTAAAATTTACTCGAGTTTGTTAAATCAACTCTTCTTAGTGAGTAAAATCTACTTAGACTTTATTAAGTGAAATTTACAATCAAAATGTTGCTATGTGGAAAAAGTTTTCTAGCTTTTTCTAATGAAATTGTACTTCAATTTTTTTTTTTAGTTTAAAAAAAAATCTACAATGACAAAACCTCTAATTTATGACTACAACTTTAAATTAACAGTTACAGTGCACACATACTTACGATTCAAAATTACCATCCTATCCAATCAAATTGTTTGAAACTACTCTTGAAATACATTGTTTCAAAAGGATCTATATATTTTTTGTAGTTTTCTACATTTTATCAGACAAACCCCCCAAATTTCAACAAATGTTGCTATTTTTTTCATTTGATGGACCAACCCAAACACAAGTTGTGTTGAACAGCAAAATAGGGAGGAAATTATGCATTATTTTTAAGAGCCAGCACATTAAACCACCTTTTAGAGCAATTACTGATGCTTATCTTTTGGTTTGTTTATATCAGCTTTTTAAATCCAGACATACCGGTACATTATTACCATGTTGATTTTTGCAAAATGGTTCATGCTCAGTCAGACTCATTCTGTCTTTTTACTTTTACAAACTACATAATGCTTTGTTACTGATATTCTATATTAACCATATGAATTGGATGCAAATTTTCTGTTGTGTATAATTAGATGTAAAAACATAAATTTAGCATTTAGTTTAGAAACTAGACAATTTATGTGCTCCTTAAAAGTGAGTCCATTGTCCAAGAATGCCATTGGCCAGTAAAACTAATATAAATACCACTTTTCTGTGATATATCTCATTTGAAGGCTAATGCTGTCTAGTTTCTGGAGATATGTGTACAGACTCTGTAGGTTTTACACAACCAGAGCTGTGTGACTTCAAACATGTAAGAACCTCCCCTCTTTCCCCTCAAATAAAAAACTGCAATTTAATATATTATATCTTTGTATAATTCATAGTTGACCTCTCCCACTTACTACAATTGTTTTTCATGTTGTGGACAACAACTGTGTAAACATTTCAGATCTGTAGTCATTAGCATTGTGTTTTGGCAGTTCAAATAAACACAATATAACAGCACCTATCTATCAAAAATGACTGCAGAATGTTTCGTATGCAAGTTGCCATCAACTTGTGGAAAATGCAGATGCACGAACTGTACCAACAATCTGATTAGATCAATTAATTGGTGGTAAGGAATTCAATTTGCAAATCCTCCTGTTATGAATTTGCTAATTTCATAATCAGCGTTATGGTCTGCATCGATGAGAGGGCGAAACACAAAATAAATATCTTGCAGTCTTTTAGGCATGCAATTTCCTTTTCAGATTGTTGGTAGATCAGCTCTTCTTGTGCTACCAAACTTGCATGTGTTTCTATACAGACAAACCACCTGAAGATCACGCCCTTTTTCTGGGTAATGTGGTGTAGGTCTGGTTTATTGTGGTGACAAAAAAAACCTTCAGAGTTTAAGCTCTAAATTTGCCTGTCCATACATATTTTCAACTTCCTTAGAAAGTTTGGAACATAAGTCAACAGACTCAGCAGTAGAAATGATTTCAAGTATTTGATGTAGATGCTAAAAATTATGATTACATGTTAATAAAAAAAGGCTAAAGACAACAATTTGAAAAAAAAGAAGTGGTTGCAGCTAAGGACTTCCTCTAGGACTTCCTCTGAGGGCATTATCTAACAAATGCTTATGCTGAGCGTTGGAACCTCACTTCATCAACATGCAGTCAGAGAGCACCATGGATGTAGAACATGTTATTTATACTTCAGTTGAAGTTTTCATTGCATTGTGCTGCTGTTTGGGGAACATGACGGTTGTTTTGGCTCTGTGGAGAACCAGGAGTGTCCAGCAACCCACCTACTGCCTTTTTGTGTCTCTTGCTGTGGCAGACTTTCTTGTCGGAGCCGTGGCTATACCTTTGGCTGTGCTGGTAGATGGCCGGGTTGAAACTGCATTCCACACTTGTCTTTTCATCAGCTGTGTGGTCATCCTCCTAACTCTTGTTTCAGTGCTTTGTCTCACAGCTATTGCTGTGGACCGTTACCTGCGCCTTGTTTTCCCTTTCTGGTAAGATCTTTTTTTTTTTTTTAGTTAACTGAGCACATTTTATCACAGGGTATACCAAAATGTAATGCTGTAATGCTTTATTTGTTATCATTGTATTGATGTTATTTTTTTTACATCAAGTTACAGTTTCTGTTACATATATAATTCTAGGTATAAAAGGACTGTAACCTGGAGGTACTCTTACGCTGTGGCTGCTGCGAGCTGGCTTCTTGCTGTGCCGCTAAGCTTTACTCCCATGCTCGGATGGCATGGAAGTCCATCCAACTCTACAAAATGCATGTTTATAAATGTGATTACCCCAAGCTATCTGGTGTACTTCAACTTTTTCCTCTGCACCTTAACACCATTGCTGGTGATGACTGTATTGTACATCTATATTTTCTGTAGAATCCGAGAAAATCTCAAAGAGAAACCAGGCAACGGGGCCAAAAGCAAGTCACAACAATACCTAAAGAAAGAGAAACAACTAGCATCCTCACTGTCTTTGGTCTTGGCTCTGTTTGCACTGTCCTGGCTTCCCCTTCACATTGTGAACTGCATGATACTATTTGGAAAAGAAATGTCAGGACCTAACAAAATAGCAATCTATATCGGCATTGTTCTTTCTCATGCTAATTCGGCCATAAACCCAGTTGTGTATGCTTTCAAAATAAAGAAGATCAAGAGAGCATACCTAAATATGTGGCAACGCTATTTTTATTGTGAAAGAGAAAATCAAGGATCTCAGTCCAGCAGGAGTGATGAAATTACTTGCAACAATAACAGTGAAACCAATGACAATGAAAAGGCATAATCTGTGAACATGTTAATGGGTTTGTTTATAAACCAATGTTTTTATTAATGCTACACATAGTGTGTATAGAGGAACTGCATAATGTAAATCAAACCTTTTTTATTGATGCTAATGATATTTGTGTATGAATCATGATATGTGTAATATTTTTATATACTTTTTGTTTGGTGATATTACATATAAACATTTTAACAACCTACCTTTAAAAGGTTTATTTTTTATTTTGCTATTCAAAACTTATGTTTCCTTGCTTAGTCTATTTTTTCACTGTATTTATGGCTTTCATGTGACAACAATCTTTCTCATCTACAGGATGTCCGTCTTGTTGAGCAGTCCCTTAGTATGGTTTCCACAGAATAGATCATTTGGGCTGATGAAACAGGATTTTGGACATACAATAGCAAAAAAAAACATGCAAACAAAGTGCTTTCAAGGGAAACATGTTTGTTTCAAATAATGAAAAAGAATATTGTAGTACACCATAAGTAGCTCACACTATGGAAGTTGCTTTCCCTTTTGTTACTCAAAGCAGAAAGCCCTGATAGTGCTAAAACTGACAATGCATAATATTAGGCAGACCGTAGATTCTTAAAACCTTAATTCTAGGAACAAATCAAAATAGCTAAGTTGTTTTAGTCTTTAGACATGAGGTTGTACGTGACTAGTATATAATCAACAGCATAAGAAAAGGCAGTTTCCATTTTTTTGACTGCTGTTATAAAGGTGAATGTTTCAAAATGAGATTTTCCTGTTAAATCAGGGGCACAACTGCATGCTTTTCAAAAGGGAATGCAGCAGGATTACCACCATCCCCTTGCATACTTTTTTAATTGTTACATTTACAAATTGTATTTCTATATGGGCTAATAAAATACAAACCTTTTATTAAATACTTTCTTTACACAATCAGTCTCCGTCTTCTGTATCATCTGCACCTCTTTAGTCCACACTTTCTATAATGAGTTATTTGCCATGTATGCAATGTTTGTCTCGAAAGGATACATAGGGGATGGGGTTCTTTGTTCCAGCCCCATATCAGGGAGGGGAAGGCCTTAAAGGCTCTGAAACTCAAAGAAAATTGTTGCGAATGGTCTGTTTTGCAGCAGCTCGGTTCTGAAATATCAACCATCACAACTTGGTCAGTCTGGAGAAATAGACCTTGGGCGTGGCCTTTCCATGATGGTGGAAACGCCTCGATCTTCCAATAAGATCCCCGGAGTAGCTTCATGGAAAGAAAAAGAAATGCTGTGTGGTGTTTCTCTCCTCAAACACCGTGGGGGGCGAAGGCACACCTCTGAGGAGTGACTAGTGATATTGTTCTGGAGCAGGTTGTTATAGAGCAAGTCAGCTGCAGAGCAAAACTTTAATTTTTTTCACCCAATAGAGAGTTTAATAAAACATGAACATTGGTTCACTATGTCAAAAAGTTATTATGTTTTATGTCATCGGGCATTGAAAACATAAAATAAAATTTATAATTTGGTGTTGAGTAACTGTTCCTAATCTTTCATCTATATCAGACCGACCTGTCATCTTCCCCTGTCAGTTCTATTTTTTTCTTCTCTTTCTTTCTCTCTAAATCCGCACAGCTGAATGACAAATCAATTTTGGGTTGGGGTGTTTTTGAAAACACACCATACAAGCCAAATGACAAAAATACTACATGTTAATTTAAAATGTTATCTTTCTTAAATGTCAGTTACTGACTGGATACTGTGTCTGTTCCGAGGTATCAGATACCATCATTGCAGCCGCTCTGTAGTGTTTTATTCTTTTTTATTCTGTTATTATG